TTGTTCCTGGAACGTGCCAAGCGACTTCCTGATGCACAGACTTGTACATGCTGTTCTCTGCCTGCATGCTCGCCCCTCCCTCCTCCGCACCCCACGCTGCTGCCTGGCCTGGTTAACTCTTACCCTTCACATCCAGCCCACTGCTGCTTCCTCAGGGGACCTCCCCCAGCCCCTGGCACAGCTAGGAGCCTCTACTCCTCACTCACAGACAGAGCTGCTCTGTAATGTGCAGGGTCAAATTTAAAATGAAGACATGGGGCCCTGGTTTGAAGATTATTAAGAATGTCCAGATGGCAGCAGCAGAGCCTACAACCCAGCAGGCCCCTGTGACTTCAAAGTCTTATGCCTGTGAAGCCTGCCCTGCTCTCAGGACTGCCTAGATTCACTCATCCTTCCTCCCTTCATTATGAGTTTACTTGTGCAATTATTTAAAGTTGATGTTTTCCTGTGAATCTAGGAACTCCCAAGGGCACCGCTGGTGGACTGTGTATACAGCTATCTTCCTAGCTGCCGACACAGCTCCTGGCATGGAGATCCTCAGTATATTCCAGAATAAATGCACAGAAAAGGGTAGAGATGAGAGAGGGGGAAGAATGGAAGGAGTGGGCTAGATAGAAAGGGACAGGAAAGCACAAGAAGGAAAGTTCAGGGGACTAAGCAGAACAGGCTAGGAGCAGACAGCCCAGGCACAGGTCGGGAGGCAGGATACTCACAGCTGGTTGAAGGGCTGTCAGTGCCATCCAGTTCTGCCCTGGGGAAGCTGCGCCCCGCACGGGCAGTGAGCAGTGCTGACTCGATGACCCTCTCGTGGGCCGTGAGCACGATGGTGGGGGCGCGGCTCCCAGCCCCAGGGCTGGACAGGGATTGCTGCATGAAGGCTAGCTTGTCCTTGGTCCTCCGTTTCATGTCATCCCATCTGTGCTTAATGTCCTTCACGGAGCGGGGCACCTGGCTGACGGAGGTGATTTTCCGAGCTATGCCTTCCCAAATCTTGTCCCTGTCAGCATGGGACAGTCGCATGGTCTCCCTCCCAAAGAGAACTGCTTCATGGTGGGTCACCTCTGTGACCAGAATATCCAGCTCCTCCTTGGAGAACTTGGGCTTCCTCTTACGCTCAGCCAGGGGTGCCACGTTCCTTGGGTTGAATATCCCACAAAGCACAATTGGGTAAATGACTGTCAACGTGGGTGATCCTCCTCCTTCCTAATTGCTGGCCCCCAGCTGGGGAGCCCAGGAGGCACCTGGGGCCACCTGGCCCCACCACACCCTCCTCCTTCTGAGAGGTCCCTTTTGCTATTCCTTGGAGGGGAAGGTGGGAAGAGGAGCCATAGTGGAGGCGGGTGGGAGCGCTGGACTCAGTCAACTTCAGGGTCTGCTCTACCTCTTACTAGAAGTGAGAGCTAGGGTGCTTCAAGTTCATTTAACCTTTCCTGTCTCAGAATGGGAATAACAACCACACCAACCTCTGGGTTGCTGCTAAGAGCAAAGGCACAACGATGTAAAAGAGCTTTAAAGCCCTGAAAGGTAGTGACAAGGGATCTTTACTGGAATTAGGATTAAACCATTGCCTCTATACAAGATTTACATACAGCCCCATAGCCCAAAGCATGGACGGGAGGAGTCTTCACAGTGGGTTGCTATGGGGCGTGGCATTGGTGGTGCCACCTGCCCAGGATTAAAGTGGGATCATAGCAAGTTCTTTCTGTTGGTGGCTCTCTCCCTCAGTCCCCTCAGTCCAAGTCCCCATCTGTGTATGTGGAGGAAAACAGGTTCCCCAGTCTACAGGAGCACACGCTCCTTTGGGGGCGGCCTGCTGTGTCACTGTGGTAAGAAGTGAGGCACCCGTGAGCTTCCAGAGGGAGACAAGTTCCACTCTGATGGACACCATGAGTAACCTCGGCTTCTACCTCCATACAGCAGCCAGGGCACCAAGCAGAGGGCTCTGACCTGGCACCTGCATGGCTTTGGAACTCAATTTTACCACACTGTTCTTCTGTTTGCTCTTCAACTAACTAAAATGCAAAAAAAAAACACCCAAGAGAAGACATCAGGGTCTGGATGGAAATCCAGAGCCCAATTACTCCTCTGACTCCTTCTAAAACCTCAGGGAGAGGCAGTGGCACCTCCCCACTTGATCCCCAGAAGCCCCAGGGCCCAGAAGCTGGGGAGAAGAAGGCTGAGGTTTCACTACCCTGCCCAAGACAGTGGCAGGAACATAGACCTTGTACTCAAGCAGACCTGGCACTAAAGGCTGAGTTTTCTCAGGCAAGCAATGGACCTGCATAAACCTAGTTTCCTTATCCATAAAACTAGAGTGATAGATAATCCTATGGCCAACTGCTCAGTGCTACTCAAGTGATTTAATGCAGGTTTCTCAAGCCACCCCTATTGGCATTTGGGACTAGAAAACTCTTTGTTCAGGGAAGAGGGCATCTGTGCAATGCAGGATGTTTATCAACATCCTTAGCTTCTAACCAACAGAAACCAACAGCATCCACTCCCAGAGTTGTGACCACCAAAAATAGCTCAAGACATTGCCAAATGCCCTTAGGAGTACCAAACAGCCCTGGCCGAGAAGCACCACCCACAGAGCACCTAGCATAGGGACATAAAGTAAAAACTTGAAATGGGAGAGACCGTTCCCTTCCTTGCCCACCACTTATTTTGTTAAGTAACTAACTGACTCCAGCTGATCATCCTCAGCCCCGGTGCTCTGACAGTTCAAGTAAGAGTGTCTGCAAATTAGGAGCTGTCCCCAAGGGCACTGCACAGGAGAAGGAAACGGGCTGTCCAGGGTTAACTGGCTTTCCCCTCACTCCAACAACTACCCGCAGGTGTCTCCACGACAGTGAGCCACACAACTGACCCCAACCTGCTCCTTGAGTTGTCACAGATGAGGGCCTGCCAGCTGTGATCAGGACAGGCCTGTGGAATAGGACAGATCTCATGCTAGCCAAGGGCTAGAAGCAGAACCTCCCCACTGACACCCACCCACAAGCCTGGTCCCTTTTTGCACAAGCAGAAAGAACAGTGGCCTGAAAGTCCAGAGTCAGAGGTTCAAATCCTTGTTCTTCCAGTGTCTATAATCCTGAGCAAAACTTTACAGAGCAGTGGCTCTCAATGCTTACGGCACGTCAGAATCACTACGAGAACTTTAGTAGTGCAATGCCCCAGGTCCATGTCCAGGCTGATTAAGTCTAAATCTTTGGGGTGCTAGATGATGGCTAAGTTAGTTCAGAGGATGACTCCCCTTCTTTGGGGTTATAAGAAAGATGGATGGTTATCGGAGATGGATGGAAGAGCGGGACAGACTCGGCTCCATCAGCAAACCTCCTGGAGCACAGAAGCCTGATGCCGGATGGGCCACAGACATGCTCTTCTCTGAGTGGCTGGGGCCAGGCTGTAGCCATCAGGCAGCACAGCAGCCACCAGATGGGCTATCTGCACATCTCACCCCCATCCCACTTGATTACAGTGCCCTCAAACAAAAGCCTGTCCCCCTTGAAAGCCCTTATCAAAGCCCATCCCCTTTCATCTGGGCTCTTGAAGCACACTGTATATCAGAAGTCATTTCTGTGGTGTTGAGGGTGAGTCCTGGGAGGACCCCGGGTTCCCCATATGTGGCCTGACCCCAGGTAGGTGCTCAGTACCCAGGTGACAAAATACATGTGCCCAGCTGATCTGGGCCTGGTTGTAGGGGAGTTAGGAGGGTCAAGCTACCTCCTTGGGGACACTTTCAAGGCAATGACTGACCATACTGTGTGAAAGGGGCACGGGAGTTGTGGGCACCTGTCCACATTGCAAGGCTGAGGCCCACCCGTCTTTGGCACCTCTATTCTGCACCTGTTAAATGGCAACAAGAACAGCTGCCTGAGCCGGTGAGAAGATGAACACTACAGCATGGGCTGCAGCTTGGCTGATTGGGCTGCTTGAAGAGAGCACAGGGGGCAGCAGGACCCCTGGGAAGGGCACAGGAAACCTCCTCACTGACTCTCCACCTCAACCAATGTCTCCTGATCTGCTTGGAAAGTCTCAGAGTGCAATACAGCATACTCCCTCCTCCAAGCACAATCACTCTCTCACCCCTCCCCCAGCCCCCGCAGCCCCGTGGGTCACAAACACCACCAGAGGGCCCAGGGCCACCTTGCAGCTGTGCCCCTGGTGCCAGACTTTGGAGGCCTCCCCTCCCACCCAGATCCAAACCCCCAGTCACTACTCCTGGGAGAGAGAGGCTACTACAGAGGTAACAAGGCACATGTGATTCCCCCAGACTTTCCCTACTGCCCCCAGGCCTCACCATGCTGGACCCCGGCCAACAGCACCACGCTGGACCTGTGATTCCCAGTCTCTGCCCTGCTGCCTCTGGGTGACCCTGGGCTGACTCCTGCTCTTTCTATTTGGCCTTTAAGGATCTTTCTTGTGTAAACTTCTGTCCCAAAACAGAGGAAGAGGGTGAAACTACTCTTTTTAAATTATTTCAAAAATTTTTGCCCCATATGGTCTGAAGGAAGGTAAAACCACTCTTGAAAGCAATCAGGCCTGGGCAGCGAGCACCATCAAAAACTGAGCTTAAAGAAAACCCCAAAAACTGAGCTAAAGACTTTGCCAGGAGCTACCTTTTGCATGAGGGCCATTGAAACAACTGATGGGGGATCACTGAGAAGGTTCCCATACTACCCCAGCAGAAGTCTGCCCTGAGAGAAGGTGCCACAGTCCTAGGCGGGCCTGAGTATTCCAGACACACCAGCAAGTGTGCAGTCCCAAGGGGTTCCTGTGACCCAGCAGCCTGGCCATAGGCACTCCTCCACAGCTCCCTGATGGAAGCCTGGGGGAGCAGGATGGTCCCCCAGAGCTAGACACATCCCAAACCCTGCAAATGGCAATTCCAGAACCTTAAGGAGCCTCCGCCACTGAAGACCCCATAAACCAGTGCATTCCCTTGGCCTCCTTTGCAGAAGCTGGGCATGATTCTCAGGAAGTCAGCAGAGAGCAGGACTCACCTCATCCAGTTGGCTCTAGTCTCATCTGACCCGTCTATGGACTTATAGCGGTTATTCTTGTCTACAATCTGGAAGAAAGAGAGAGAGTCTAGAATAGGCCATCCTAGACAGGCTTTCATGTCCCTGGGCTCCTTCTCAACCCAGGACTCAGGGCCTGGCCCCACCTGCTACCTTCCCTCCCTTCCCTCTGTCCTCCCCCTGAAATATCCCCACTGGTACTGGACTGAAACCCAGGCTAGGGTCACAGATGCCTGCTATCCACTCTCCACCCATTTCCATTCCCCTAGAGACACAGGAGGAAGCATATATATCCCTTAACAGGTGTTTTGAATTCCCAGAAGATAGGCGGCAGATGGGTGGGACCATCTCCCTCCTCGGCCTTGATTTCTAGTATTCTTTCTCTCTCTATGGGTTCTGCTGGATGATTGGGCACACAAAATTTGAGAGGGTTCCTCCTCTCCCCAGTCTCTAAATGTTCAAGAGCCTCAGGGTTTGGGGCTGGGCCGCTTTCTCTTCAGCAAAAATGTCTGTATTTCACCCTTGCTCTTGAATCAGAATTCAGTTGCATATGAAATTCTAGGCTGATTAAGTTTTTATTTTTTTCAGCCCTTTTAAGATTGTTAAAAAGACTGTCATAGGTTCAAAAGCAACCTATGATTAGTCTAAGTTGTCCTTTTGTGGATAATCTGTAGTAAATTTTAAGACTTTCCCTTTATTCTTGATTTTCTGCAGTTTTGCCATGTAGTTTTAAAGCAGAGATCTAGTTTTTTTGAAATTCTCCTCATTATTTGATGAGCACTTTCCAACCGAAGACTTCTCTTTTTCAAATCTGGAAAATTCTTAGCCATTATGCTTTTGACTACAGCTCTCAGTCATTTTCTCCAATCTCTTCTGGTAGATTTCCTATTAAACATATGTAGAAATATCTCAATCTATCCTCCATGTCTTTTAACTACCCCTTCATAGTTTTCCTTTTTTTTTATTTTTAAGGCAGTCAGTCTCTGGCAAAATTTCTCAGAACTCTCTTCCAATTCACTAATCATCTCTTTGACTACGTCCAGTCCAGGGTTTCTCTCATCTACTGAGGCTTGTCCTTTCTTTCTTTGCTTCCTTTTTTAATGAGCACCTTTCATTCAATGAATATTTTTCATTCTCAGAATTTTTAATTGGTTCTTTTTCACATCCATCTTTTCTTCATCCTGCCTTTTTGTTTCATAACGACAGGTTCCTCCTTTTTGCATTTTTAACAGCTTTACTGAGGTGTAATTGGCATATAAAGTACAACTGGTTAAGTTTTGACAAATGAGCTAGACCAGGGGTCCCCAACGTTTTTGGCACCAGAGACCAGTTTCATGGAAGAAAATTTTTCCACAGACTGGGTTGGCACAGGAGGATGATTTGGGATGATTCAAGCACATTACATGTACTGTGCACTTTATTTCTATTATTATTACATTGTAACATACAATGAAATAATCATACAACTCATTATAATGCAGAATCAGTGAGAGCCCTGAGCTGATTTTCCTGCAACTAGACAGTTCCAGCACTAGCATCACTGCCTCAGATCATCAGGCATTAGATTCTCAAAAGGAGCTCGCAACCTAGGTCCCTCACACGTGCAGTTTACAGTAAGATTCCTGCTCCTAGGAGGGTCTAATGCTGCTGCTGATCTGACAGGAGGCGGAGCTCAGGCAGTGATACGGAGCAGCTATAAATGCCGATGAAACTTCACTCACTTGCCTTTTGCTTACCTCCTGCTGTGCAGCTTGGTTCCTAACAGGTCACGAATCAATACTGGTCTGTGGCCCAGGGGTTGGGTCCCTAAGAACTCAGTGAAGCAGAACCACTTTACCAGGCCTATAATCCTAACTGACCTCCCTGGTGGCATTCTTAACCCTTCACTGATTCTTCCCAAAGCAGCAGAGAAATCTTTTACCAAAGTGAGTCAGATCATGTTCTCCGCCAGCTCAAGAGGGCATTAGGTGCACTTACAATAAAATTCATGTTCATGGTTCTGGCTTTCGAGTTCCATCTGACGGCTCCCTGCCTGCCTCTCCAACTTACCGTGGGCCTCCTTCTCTCTCTTTTCCTACTGCTCTGTAGCCACTATGCACTGAGAGTGAGCCTTAACAATTAGTTGGTTCCACTGCCCAGAACCTCTTTCCCCTACTCTTAATAAGATAATAATTATGGTATAGTTTAAGCATTCAAAAATTATAAAGAATTTTTATAGTAATTCTATAATGTAGCTGACAACTCTGTGCCCAGAAAGTACAACCAACAAAAATCAACATCAGTTTTATATGTCCCAATCCTGTCTCTCCTTTCACTTCATAGAAAAGCCTGGATGCAGCTGAAGACCCTCTCTGCCTCCGTCAACTCAATCTCTCTCCCTTCCTCCCTCCAAGGGTACCCACCACCCTGCAGGGAGCCTTCCCATTTTTATGATGTGAGGATTTTTTCTAAGAACACTGAACAGAACTGTTTTGCATGGTTGTAAATTTTACATGAACGGCACTCAAGGAAACATACCCTTTCTCAACTTTTTCTCACTAAGCTCTGAACGCCTGGTCCCTTCTTATCTTTTGAGACTCTGATGATGTCAGTTCCACAGAAGGAGCCTTTCTGGACAGGACCCGAAAGTAAGTTCTTCCTTGCCACACCTCAACCTCCACACCCTTGGCCTCCCATAGCCATGTCTCTAGAACATTGTCCTGTTACAGTCCTCATTATAGTGAGCATTTCTTTTGGTGTTGACCATGTTTATCTCTTTGTCAACTTGGTACCTGACAGTCTCCTTCCCTAACCTAATTAGGGCAAAGCACATGGCTGTCCCACTCACGATGGTGGTGTCAGTTCCTAACACAGTAAGTGACACTTGGTAGAATCCTGGGTGAAAGAATAAATAGTCAGATGAAGAGCCTTTTAAGTAATAGAAGCAAGTTAAGGAAAAAAAAATTACACAAGGTTATTTATTTATTTATTATTTATTATTTTTTTTTTTTGAGATGGGAGTCACACTCTGTCACCCGGGATGGAGTGTACTGGCACCATCACTGTGGCCTTGATAGGATGTTAGTATTTTAGTAGAGAGGAAATGAGTGCTGTGCTGAAGGTAGCATGTCCTAAGGGTCAACTGTTCATACTTTCAGGAATTTTGTGAACCAGTTGTAAAACAAAACCGATATTAAAAATTAAATGATATAAACTTACAAGTCAATAAATTATTTATTTTTAAAACAGAACACTCAAAACTTAACCACTTCCTGACTAGTTTACCACATTTTACTAACTGTTATCTATGCTCTTGAAGGCACTGGCACCTACTGTACCAGAACAGTGGAAATACTATACATGGCATAACAGCTGCCACTGCATATTTCCTCCCAACTGCATGTTGAGTGATTTCATGTTTGTAGTTTAAAATCAGCCATTTACACCATGGAAACTGGCACATACTCAAACCCATCCTAGAAAAAAGTGCTCCATACCTCATTGCTGACCATCACTACAGTTACCTTCAAAGTACTCCCCCCTGGAAAGCTAGGCACTGATTCCAGAGCCTAGTCCACTCTTCAGAGCAATTTTGGAACTCTTTTTCTGGAATGACTATCAGAGCTATCTCGTCACGTGGCACACAAAAACATGCAATGGTAATAATGAACGCCACCCAACAAGACACCCACCACATGTTGACAAGAACATAGCTGTGAGACACTGATATATCAAGGTTATGAAACCTTACCAAATTGTTTGTACAGTGCTGCCAACGTAAGTGTGCAGTAGCAAGTTTGCAAACTTAATTGTCAGACCTAGTATGATGACAGCTCTGATGGTCATTCCAGAAAGAGAGTTCCAAAATTGCTTTGAGGGGTGGACTAGACATTGGTGTATTTTGAAGGTGACTGTAGTAATATTCAGCAACAAGGTATATAGTACTTTTTCTAGGATGACTTAGTGAACTTAATTGTTAGACCTCATATTTCTCCCTGACTCCCATCACCAGCAGATTGTTACAAACGTTTACCTGCACACCACTATATGCATGTTTATGTGAGCATAGAAAGTCTAGGAGATACATTTCAAACTCTCCACTCTGACTACCTCTAGATGGGAGAAAAGAGAAAAGTAGGGATGCTTTTGTGTTCTCCATTTACAAGACCATTCTGCTTTTGTGTTTTAAAAATCTCAAAAAGATAAGAAAAGAAAGCATGGAGTTCAGGGTTCTCTTTTTCTTACAGTCTCCCCAGATGATGCTGACACTCCTCTGGAGTGTCACAGAACCCTATACTTTATCACAACACTAACCACACCACATTATCATTTTCTGATTGCTCCTCTTTCTCCTGGGGGAAAAGAAAAAGCATCTCTTATTCCCTGAGGCCAGTAGTGGAGGCTTCTACAAGGTTATAGGAACCACAGAACCAGAGGAGTTGGTTCTCAGCTTCACCACTTACAAGCTGAATGGCCTTGGGCAGGTGACTGTGAGGGACACAGGAGCTGCCTAAGATGTCTGCTTGCTAGCTTCCAGAGATTTTCTGAGAGGTGTTTATTTATTTGTTCTTTCATTCATTCAACCAACAAATATCACAAAGGGAGCAGCTACAGTGACAGGTTCTGGGTATAAAATGGTGATCCAGGCAGACAGAATATTTGCCCTAAGAAAGCTCACAGTACATTGGGTACAGTAGCCAGGTCACTATGACAGTGTGTGGTCAGTACTATGGTGGAGAACTGTGTAGGGAACTCATGGGAACTCTGAGCTGGGGCCCCATACCTAGGAGTCAGTCAAGGACCCTCTTGGGGGATATAGAGTGTAAGCTGAGATCTTAAAGAAGAGGCGGGTGATAGTGTTCTAGGCAGAGGGTATGGGGCAGGCAGGAACAGGCCCTGGATGAGCCCAGGCCACTCTGCCTGGGGCAGAGATGGATCCAGGGATGGTCAGTCAGGACTGGATGCTCAGCACCAGCCCCCAGAAGACTGGTCTCTCACTGTCCTCCCTCAACTTATTCTTCAAGGTCAACTCCTCAGCCCCTCTGAACCTGGAGCTTCTCAGACCAGCCCA